TGATATAAATTTTGTTGAACATTATTTTTAACAAAATTCGTCAAAAGCTTTCACGACTTAGCAAAATTGAATTTATGTTGAAGTCACCAAATCTATATATGACTTTACTTGAATGTGATTTTAAGTAGAAATTATCTTACTTTATGACGATTTTGCTTTGAAGTTAATTAAATTTAATTCTTCAAGTAATTAATTTAAAATGAGACTTATATATATAATTTAAAAAATAAATTAATCCAAATTTATTTTTTTTTATCATAGCATTGAAAGATCTTAAAAAGAAAAGTTGCAGTGAAAACGAACTTATATTTTATGTTGTTGGATTTATAATTGTGAATATTAATTTAAAAATTTTAAAATATATTAAGAAGTAACTTAACAATATGAGCATATTTTGAAGATATAGTAGAAAATAATGTAAAAAAAAAAAGATAATAGAAAATGTGGAGAGTTTTGTGGAAATGACATACGTTGAGGGTGGGAAGTTTACATTAGTTGATAGTTTAGTGATAAAAGACGAAGGAAATGGGAAATCGGGTAATGTGTGGATGGTGAGGCAATTATGTGAGTAAGTAGATTTGAAAGAGTAAAAGAGAGAAAAGCATTAAGTATGAAAAGTATAGTAGACAAAGATGCGAGTAGGGGAGAGAAAAAGTACTTGTGTTCCACCTCAAAGAAGAAAAGGTAAGCATTTTGGCTATTTTACTGCTCCAAAATATTCATTCTATTTTAGAAAGAAGATTTATTTCCATTAGGGGAGAAGAGTGGCAACAACACACGCTGAGATGGAACATGTCTAAAGAGGTAAAATCGTTTATAAGATGATGTTTCAAGAAAATTTATTTTTTATTAAAAAAAAAAAATAAAGAGAATAGCGTGCATTTAAGTATTTGGCTGTATCTGTTGTCCTAACATTGAAGCGGTGGATAAGCATGTGCCACACACACACACATTATTCCAAACATATTTGCCGTGTTGTTTACTACTTCCTTGTTTCTTTCCTCTGCTTCCTTTTCCTTTTCCTCTTTTTTCGTCTCTCTTTCTCACTCTGCATTCAATGCCCCATTTGCCCATTTGTTTCTTTTTGGCTACTCAACTTCTCTTTCCTTTGTTTTTCTCTTCTTTTTTATTCCCTCATTTTTAATAACATAAATCAAAGTTTCTGCGTCGATAACGTGCGGGCCACCTTCGACTTTGGCCTTTTCTGCGTTAGGTCAACAACTAGGAAAACCTTTCGGCCTCTTCTGCCCATTGGCTCAATCCCACCAAATGGAGAACAATTCATTTATGTCTCTGTCTCTGTTCCTTCGTCAGAGATTGTAGCCTTTGTATTCTACTGCCACTAATTACAATGCTAAACACCGTTTCAACTAACCAATCATCGTTAACATTTCGATTATCTCTCTCTCTCTCTTCTTTTTCATTACTTCTTTCAAACACCCACTCTTTCCTTCATAACTGCTGTTCCACCTTCACATTACGTACTTCATCAATAATAATACTCATTTTCATCAAACATCCTCCTCAAGTACCACATCGATACTGATAAACCAAATTTGCTTGCGTGTTTGATTTATAACCATTGATAATAATAATATCCTTCTTATTTTACTTAACAATTCTCTAGTCAACGTACCAAAAGTTGTTATAATTAATCCTTCACTCTGTCATGAAAACTGAAATCACCATGACTATTATAGAAATTTACACTCTCTTATCCTCAGATTTTTTTTTTGAAAAGAAAACTACATACATATCCTTTATTTTTTATGAATAATTGAAATTTTAGAATTCCTACATTATACTATTAATTATGAATCACTAGAAGCTAACTAAGTATCTAATAGTAAGAAATTTAAGAATTTTGCATAAGACTTCAGGGTCAAATCTGGTTATCATTATTATATATTAACAAAGACTTCTTTAATCTAAAACAGGGATAAGATTATTGAAATGGATTCTTAATTTAACATGCTGAAATACCTAACTAATGCACTTAAAATAATGATTGTGAACTTTTTTTTCTTGAACTGTGAATACATGAAATATCAGTGCTTTAATCTTTAAATAAAGGTCTGGAGTTCAAATACCATGAATGAAAAACTTAGCTTGGAAAGAGATGGCTCAACAAAATAGTAATTAAAATTTTATATTCACAAATACTCTACACTTTGCCAATACTCTCTGGACCAATACAATGTAATGAGAAAAAAAATTATATATATTTTTTTGATTATTTAATAATGTCATAAGATTGTACAAAGCATTGCCTTTATTTAGGGACTCCTTTAAGTCCACTAGGGCTGCTTTTTCTTCGTGAAGACCAAGGATGCTGCTACATGCAGTGAATGCAGAGTTTTTAAGCTTAATTTCGTCATCACATCTTTATTGATGGATGTTACTAAATAATATTCTTAATATGTTTGTTAAAAAAATATTGGCGTGTATTTATTATTTACATAATTACTTTATCAATGTTTATAAGACACTGTTAACAATATTCTTAGAAACATTAGTATAAGAACAATGTTTTTGAATAAAAAATAAAGAACCACAGAACTTGGTGCAATGCATTTAGGTCAATATTCTGTCGATAAATTTCAAAGATTCTTCCTTGACCAAAAGTAAAAATTAATCTTCTTTTCTTGTAAAAGTTTGGAGATAATCAGTGTACGTTCATCTAAAATTTACAACATGTGTCTAGTAAGAATTTCAACACGTATCAAATAAAGAAAGAGCTCGTACATGATTTGTGACTCTTTTTTTTTGGACATTTTTTTTAATTTATGATTTGTGACAATACTAATTGAGAAAAAAAATAGTTTAAATACTAGTTTTATTTTTAAATTTAAGACAGGTTTTGGTCCTTGCAATCTTTAGTAATCTGTTTTTATCTTTATTGTACATTTTTCCTAAAAAAATAACTATTTTAACAATTTTGAAGTATTTGTGGAATTATATACATGCAATTTTGAAAATAACTTATTACCATTATAAATTTTATTTGGTTGTATTTTTCATTTATAAATAATATGACGGAAGGCAAATTTGTTTCACGAGACTTTTGAAGAATTTTGAGAATAGAAAAAAAATATTTATTCTTATCGTTTGTTAAAAAATTATAAAAAATATTCCAAGATGTATTTTATTCTTGCAGAGGTTATTCTTTTTTATGTATTCACGTTTTATTTTCAGGTTAAGGAGAAGTTGCATTTCTGAGAAGTCATTTTCCAACTTCACTACAATTTTCATTTTACTTATTCTTTTTGAATAATTTTAAATTTAAAAAGTAATTTTCAAAATTAAAAATGAACTAAATTAGATATATCTAGAAATGATATTCTTGATTATATTCTTTTAGGACATCATGTACCTTAGAATATTTTCATGAACTTTGTGAAACGTTGTGCTTGTACTATAGTGGGTTCGAATTCGGGCTAAGAGAAACAATTTCGGGTTCAAGTTGGAACAACTTAGGCTACTTCTTGATTCACCCCCCTTTTTCTGCCTGCACCTGTCTAAACACAAATATCCCATTTTATCCTTCAGTCAATATTTAGCCAAACCCTAATTTGAAATTTACATTTCCGCCACACCTCCCTCCTTCTATCCTCTCCTCATTTCCCATTTCTCTACACATAACACTTCTCCTCTACACATTAACTTTTTCTTTCCCAAAATAATATTAAATTTTGTTTGATATTTTCCTTGGCTATTTAAATCAACTTTATTACCTAATAATGGTGCAAAAATTTCGAGATATATCATGATAAATTAATTTTCTTGTGAAGCATTTGACAAAATGTCCACCCTCCATTCTTAGTTTGGCTTCAATTCAGCAATACATCCAATTTAATCTCCCAATTGCTTCTGCTCTCAATAGTTGGTTATCCAAGATTTGGTCATGCTAAAAGAAAGGGTGTTACTCCCTCCACCTCCACACGTCTCTTCCTCCACCTCCCCAATTTTCTAAAATGCCAATTATATCCTTCTAAAATGACAATTATATCCTCAAAAGTTAAAATTTTTTATTTTTATTATTTTAATATTTTAATTTATTTAAAACTTCTGATTTACTTCCCTCTGCACCTCTTCCTCTCTTCCATTTTCGTTTACCTTTCTCTCTTCCGTTAAGCTTCTTCTCCACCTATAACAAATTCATATTTTAACAAAATTATTACGTTTAAAAACTAACCATATATAACATTTAAAATTATAAATTTAAATATAAATTACTGTAAATAAAATAAACAAATAAAATAAAAACGAAACGTAAAAGGAACACTGCCTCTGGACGGATGACATCCTTCAACGGATGTCAACATCCGTTGAAGGCAAAACGGATGTCGACATCCGTTTAAGGCAAAACGGATGTCGACATCCGTTTTGCCTTAAACGGATGTTGACATCCGTTGAAGGATGTCATCCGTCCATAGGCAGTGTTCCTTTTACGTTCCGTTTTTATTTTACTACGTTTTGTGGCTCATGCAAGGATTATAGGCTTGGATATTAAAAGGATTATTGGAAGTATGGGAAGGATTTAGGGTTTAGGATTATTCGAAGGATTATGACTACGTACCTGGAGAGGAACGACAAGGACACACGACAAGGACACTACACCATAAACGCACTGCACCACGTACTGCACCGAGAACAAGAAGAAGATTGTTTGATAATTCTTTTCACGATCACCAAGCTTTGTAGAAAAATATTTTACTCATACAAGGAACTACGTAGGTTATCAGTGAAATATGTTATAAATGAATAAAATTAAAAAACAACAATTTTAAAAATAAAATTTTACTGAGGGGCAAAATAGTAAAGGAAAGGTGGAGGAAGGGGCAAAATAGTAAAGGGGAGGTGGAGGAAGAGATGTGTGGGGGTGGAGAGAGCAACACCCTAAAAGAAATACCAAACAAAAAAGTTGTTGGGCTTAAAACGAGGCCCAACAAACCAAACTAGCAAGAGAGGATAGTAAGACCCAACCCAATAATTTATGAAAGCGTACGGCAACAGTAGAGCTGTGTGACGACTGAGGTTGTCCTCCAGAACAGACCCAAAGGAACCTGAGAAAGACACGAACACAGATCTGTGGGTGCCATAGGAGAAGGCAACATCAACGCCCAAAAACCGACAGAAACTTGTAAGAGAGAACCAGTTAACAATTACTCAGGTGCGTTCTGCATAAATAGTCTCTAGAAACAAACAAATTCGTTGTTTTTCTTTTCTTTTTACTTTCTTTTCTGCTGTTCAACTGAGTTCGCTGAATGGACTCTAATCTCAGCGATTTTGCACGAGCTTGAGCGAGTTTGCTAGACTTCACACGAACCTAGCTTCAGGGTGTGTAACGAAAACTCGTCCAACTTCACGAGTTCTCGCGATTTTTATAAATTACTAAATATATTTAAGGACTTACAGACCCTGATCACGCTAAAGAGGAAAGCTTTGAAATTACAAATTGTACAGTGTTCTCGGGATAATCTTCATTGTTAATGGTTAAGATTGGTTCTTAAACCATTGCTGTGTTTGCTTTCATTTCCTATGTATAGCACCATCAAGTTCTCTCTTGAATGCATTTATACTCATTTAAAAAACTAGTGTCGTAATAGAGTTTGCTTTCAGGGTTTTTAAACTGAATGTTGGTTACATTCTGCAGTTGCGGCATGCTTTGTGGACTAGTCATACCATATTGAAATTAAACATTTTAAACATAAATGCAAACCTGTAATTTTAGACAAAAATATATATCATCCCTTTGTTTTATACATCCATGAAGGTTGCTTTATTTTCAGATTCTTAGTCCTCCAACACATGCAATGACCTTATGTCAGAAAACTGCTTTTGTTTTACATAATATGCATGACATGTCGTGGAATTCATTGGTTTAGTCAGTGTTCTCTGACTAGCAAGATGGTCTTGTAATGTATTTAATTTTATATTTTATATATTGTCATGGTATACATTAGCGCTTGAGATGGAGAACTTTAGTTTTACTGTTGTGGCAAAGATCAGGTTTAGTCATAGTCTTTGTCCAGCATGATAATCTTTGTAATATATTCATTTATTAAGAATTAGAAACATTATAACGTTGATGAATAACTTTGACTCCAAAATTTTCACGATGGTCTATTTTAAGTTGTTTTTCCAGCACTAATGAAGAATTGACCTTGTATTCTGACTGCAACTTAAAATTTGAAGGAAACTGTTCATTTTTAATCATTGAGGAATAGCCTTGTGTTTTCTTTTAAATATACTAGACAATATGCTAGCATAAAAAGTACATAATATGATGTGCCTTTTTAAAAAAAATCTAAGTTGTTGATTCAGTTTGAAACATGAGTGATATTGCATAGCATCTGTACATCATGATAGAAAAATCTGCATTGTAAGTTCAAATTTTCTCTCTCTTTTCAATCCAAGCAAGGCCTTAGTTAATATTTGCGTGACATAACTAGAACAAATACCAATGGTTAAAATTAAGGATGCTTTAATGTTAATGTTGAATTCACAAAGTAGCAAATTTAGAGTTAAACCTGCAGAAGATAGGCAGCGTATAAGTAGATCTGTGCCATACCATAACCTTATCTGGTTACATGGATCATTCAACTCTATTGAGTTCAATGACCAAATTTTCAAGGATATCCATGATAACCCTTTTCAATAATTTCCTATTTGCATAAGAATTGGGCCATACCTGGCCCCCAACAAAAATATTATAATTTGACCTAATATTGTAATATACTACCCACGCCTCTCCTTCAGTCCCACTGTGGAGTCATTGTTCACTGCTGCTAGCTGCTTCCAATCGCTACCGCCCCTGCATCCCGTCACTGCTGCTTCCACTGCAAGTCTTTCTCTTTTTTCAAATTATTTTTGTTAAGTGCCAGCTGACTTCCCAATTTATTATTCTTCTTTTCCACTTCATAAAGGAGTTTTGGGGTTTTCGCTGTTCTGATATGGATACCACTGGTCTGGTCCTTCTATCCTTTTTTACCCAGTTAGAAACGATGCAATTTACTATCTCAATTGGTGTTTACAGTGGTCTCTTTTGCTCAAAGTCTAGATCACCTTAACTAACTTTTTATCATATTTTTCCCATCTAGTGTCACTCTAATATCTCCCCATATACAATTATTCATTAATCTCATCCACAAGTAGCATGCATTTAGGGGTGATGTTTTGTATGTCCTTGGTTGTACATTCAAGACTACTTGTTGTAAAATTATTGTTTTAGAATAGTTCTTACAACTTTAGCAGATCAGATTAAATCCTGTGTAGTTTGCTGATGCAGAAAAAGGATTAAAAGAAACTCTACTGGACAAATAATAGAAGAACATAAAATTGCAAATTCATTGGATCGGAAGGAATATTTGTAAAGGTTTAGCAGAAGAATTTTGTTGAATCACCTAATTCAGAATCCTGATTAAGTTCCATGGAAGAAGAGCATCAATATTCTGAAAGTAGTGAAGAACTACAGACCCAGAAACCGGATGGAGAAAATCAACAGTTGCAGCATCGATACCAAATACCTGGAGCTGAAGAGAAACTAGTATTACAATTTATGGATTCAGTGCATAACTACTTATCTCTCTTTGATACAGTGTCCTCCACACTACGACAGGTAAAAGTGAAACACGTTCAATACAGGAAATTGATAGCATCTTTGGATTTGTATAATTTTCTGGTTTACCAATAGCTTTGAATTTAATTTTCTGTCCTATCATTCTGTAAGAGAAAATGTTACTAATAGAAGGTCAGGTATAATACTGGTTGGATTTCTTAGTTTAACTATTTTATGATCAAATGGAGAATTTGTGAAGTTTTGATTCAGCTAGTAATTATAGTTGAACCTGTAATTTGTCAACTTAAAGTTTTCTTAGATATAGTGAATGTTCTGTCTTTTTGGTAACCATTTTTCATATATTAGCAGGGATGGTTTGACTTGGCAAGTGCTCGACATTCCATGGGTGCTGCTCGTATTAATAGTTCTTTATTGGACCTGAAATTCCATTCAGCTGCCACAACATTGAAGATAACCAACCATGATGGTAACAATTTTATGCTTAAGGAAATGGTTGCTAGTTGCGACTGCTTGATTCTATCGTGCTTTCGTTTTCATTTTTATGAAGCCTTTCTGTAACATGTTTCTTGTCAATTTAGATGGAGCCTTTGTTTAATATAAGAACACGCATGTCTCAACAGGTACACAACCATGCTTCATGTTGCGTAAATGGGTATCCTCTGAAGAAGAGAGTACTAACGAGTTAGAAGACGAGAATGTCCAGCCACAAGATAGTAGTAGTGTGAAATCTTCCGGTATGTTTTCCCTCTCCCAATGCATCAAATAATGGTTCTTTTATTTAGTAGCTGTTTGCGTTTCTCATTTTGTTATATGTTTGGTGTACGAACTGCTGAGGTGATCATGGCTAAGAATTTCTCAGGACTTGCAGATAATGCTGACGTAAGTATTCTAAAAACGTTAAACATCCTCTCATTAACATATATTAAGCATTACAAGTAGAATTGAATTTGATCTATAATGTTGTTGCTATCGTGAAATATGGTGAATAAAATTTAGCAATTTCATAGCAACAGTTCCTGAACTGTCAATTGAGCTACTGTACAAATCTTGTTAGTGTTTTTTATAGATTCAAAAGGAGAGATCCAAGTCCTTATCAGTTTTTGGAGTTTTAATTTCGCCAAAGCTTCGAGCCTCTCAGCTGTCATTTGAGAAAGGTGAATAACAGGACTAAAGATCTTAATTCCCCTCACTATTTTTGCAAATGTGATTTTAGTCATCTGTCTATGTGTTATACTTGTCATCCAAGAGATATCACATTCTGTCAATTGAATTTCTTTGCAGCACTAGAGACACTCGTAGAAATAGCTAATATGCAATCATCATTGTTATATTCTTTTCACCAACTTCAGAAGGTGGAAGATGCCAAAGAATGAAAAGTACCATACCAGCTCCTTGTGGTACGTTTATATAACCTTATTGCTCTCTGTTTCTCTTTTACTCCTTCTGGTATTGGGGATTTTTTTTTTCTTTTCAATTGCATATCAAGACTATAGTGTTTTATTTGTACGGACAAGTCAGATATTATTTTAGTAATACAAATCACGAACAAAGATGAAAACAAATTTGTGGGATATATTTGGTAAAATTACACTTTAGTTCCTCCCCAAGGCTTGTGATAATTTCAAAATTAATGTTTTCTATTAGAACCGGATGTGCCAGTTATATAACACCGGGTTGTTTTATTTGAAATGTGAATGTTCTGACAGGTCTATACCANAAACGGATGTTGACATCCGTTGAAGGATGTCATCCGTCCATAGGCAGTGTTCCTTTTACGTTCCGTTTTTATTTTACTACGTTTTGTGGCTCATGCAAGGATTATAGGCTTGGATATTAAAAGGATTATTGGAAGTATGGGAAGGATTTAGGGTTTAGGATTATTCGAAGGATTATGACTACGTACCTGGAGAGGAACGACAAGGACACACGACAAGGACACTACACCATAAACGCACTGCACCACGTACTGCACCGAGAACAAGAAGAAGATTGTTTGATAATTCTTTTCACGATTACCAAGCTTTGTAGAAAAATATTTTACTCATACAAGGAACTACGTAGGTTATCAGTGAAATATGTTATAAATGAATAAAATTAAAAAACAACAATTTTAAAAATAAAATTTTACTGAGGGGCAAAATAGTAAAGGAAAGGTGGAGGAAGGGGCAAAATAGTAAAGGGGAGGTGGAGGAAGAGATGTGTGGGGGTGGAGAGAGCAACACCCTAAAAGAAATACCAAACAAAAAAGTTGTTGGGCTTAAAACGAGGCCCAACAAACCAAACTAGCAAGAGAGGATAGTAAGACCCAACCCAATAATTTATGAAAGCGTACGGCAACAGTAGAGCTGTGTGACGACTGAGGTTGTCCTCCAGAACAGACCCAAAGGAACCTGAGAAAGACACGAACACAGATCTGTGGGTGCCATAGGAGAAGGCAACATCAACGCCCAAAAACCGACAGAAACTTGTAAGAGAGAACCAGTTAACAATTACTCAGGTGCGTTCTGCATAAATAGTCTCTAGAAACAAACAAATTCGTTGTTTTTCTTTTCTTTTTACTTTCTTTTCTGCTGTTCAACTGAGTTCGCTGAATGGACTCTAATCTCAGCGATTTTGCACGAGCTTGAGCGAGTTTGCTAGACTTCACACGAACCTAGCTTCAGGGTGTGTAACGAAAACTCGTCCAACTTCACGAGTTCTCGCGATTTTTATAAATTACTAAATATATTTAAGGACTTACAGACCCTGATCACGCTAAAGAGGAAAGCTTTGAAATTACAAATTGTACAGTGTTCTCGGGATAATCTTCATTGTTAATGGTTAAGATTGGTTCTTAAACCATTGCTGTGTTTGCTTTCATTTCCTATGTATAGCACCATCAAGTTCTCTCTTGAATGCATTTATACTCATTTAAAAAACTAGTGTCGTAATAGAGTTTGCTTTCAGGGTTTTTAAACTGAATGTTGGTTACATTCTGCAGTTGCGGCATGCTTTGTGGACTAGTCATACCATATTGAAATTAAACATTTTAAACATAAATGCAAACCTGTAATTTTAGACAAAAATATATATCATCCCTTTGTTTTATACATCCATGAAGGTTGCTTTATTTTCAGATTCTTAGTCCTCCAACACATGCAATGACCTTATGTCAGAAAACTGCTTTTGTTTTACATAATATGCATGACATGTCGTGGAATTCATTGGTTTAGTCAGTGTTCTCTGACTAGCAAGATGGTCTTGTAATGTATTTAATTTTATATTTTATATATTGTCATGGTATACATTAGCGCTTGAGATGGAGAACTTTAGTTTTACTGTTGTGGCAAAGATCAGGTTTAGTCATAGTCTTTGTCCAGCATGATAATCTTTGTAATATATTCATTTATTAAGAATTAGAAACATTATAACGTTGATGAATAACTTTGACTCCAAAATTTTCACGATGGTCTATTTTAAGTTGTTTTTCCAGCACTAATGAAGAATTGACCTTGTATTCTGACTGCAACTTAAAATTTGAAGGAAACTGTTCATTTTTAATCATTGAGGAATAGCCTTGTGTTTTCTTTTAAATATACTAGACAATATGCTAGCATAAAAAGTACATAATATGATGTGCCTTTTTAAAAAAAATCTAAGTTGTTGATTCAGTTTGAAACATGAGTGATATTGCATAGCATCTGTACATCATGATAGAAAAATCTGCATTGTAAGTTCAAATTTTCTCTCTCTTTTCAATCCAAGCAAGGCCTTAGTTAATATTTGCGTGACATAACTAGAACAAATACCAATGGTTAAAATTAAGGATGCTTTAATGTTAATGTTGAATTCACAAAGTAGCAAATTTAGAGTTAAACCTGCAGAAGATAGGCAGCGTATAAGTAGATCTGTGCCATACCATAACCTTATCTGGTTACATGGATCATTCAACTCTATTGAGTTCAATGACCAAATTTTCAAGGATATCCATGATAACCCTTTTCAATAATTTCCTATTTGCATAAGAATTGGGCCATACCTGGCCCCCAACAAAAATATTATAATTTGACCTAATATTGTAATATACTACCCACGCCTCTCCTTCAGTCCCACTGTGGAGTCATTGTTCACTGCTGCTAGCTGCTTCCAATCGCTACCGCCCCTGCATCCCGTCACTGCTGCTTCCACTGCAAGTCTTTCTCTTTTTTCAAATTATTTTTGTTAAGTGCCAGCTGACTTCCCAATTTATTATTCTTCTTTTCCACTTCATAAAGGAGTTTTGGGGTTTTCGCTGTTCTGATATGGATACCACTGGTCTGGTCCTTCTATCCTTTTTTACCCAGTTAGAAACGATGCAATTTACTATCTCAATTGGTGTTTACAGTGGTCTCTTTTGCTCAAAGTCTAGATCACCTTAACTAACTTTTTATCATATTTTTCCCATCTAGTGTCACTCTAATATCTCCCCATATACAATTATTCATTAATCTCATCCACAAGTAGCATGCATTTAGGGGTGATGTTTTGTATGTCCTTGGTTGTACATTCAAGACTACTTGTTGTAAAATTATTGTTTTAGAATAGTTCTTACAACTTTAGCAGATCAGATTAAATCCTGTGTAGTTTGCTGATGCAGAAAAAGGATTAAAAGAAACTCTACTGGACAAATAATAGAAGAACATAAAATTGCAAATTCATTGGATCGGAAGGAATATTTGTAAAGGTTTAGCAGAAGAATTTTGTTGAATCACCTAATTCAGAATCCTGATTAAGTTCCATGGAAGAAGAGCATCAATATTCTGAAAGTAGTGAAGAACTACAGACCCAGAAACCGGATGGAGAAAATCAACAGTTGCAGCATCGATACCAAATACCTGGAGCTGAAGAGAAACTAGTATTACAATTTATGGATTCAGTGCATAACTACTTATCTCTCTTTGATACAGTGTCCTCCACACTACGACAGGTAAAAGTGAAACACGTTCAATACAGGAAATTGATAGCATCTTTGGATTTGTATAATTTTCTGGTTTACCAATAGCTTTGAATTTAATTTTCTGTCCTATCATTCTGTAAGAGAAAATGTTACTAATAGAAGGTCAGGTATAATACTGGTTGGATTTCTTAGTTTAACTATTTTATGATCAAATGGAGAATTTGTGAAGTTTTGATTCAGCTAGTAATTATAGTTGAACCTGTAATTTGTCAACTTAAAGTTTTCTTAGATATAGTGAATGTTCTGTCTTTTTGGTAACCATTTTTCATATATTAGCAGGGATGGTTTGACTTGGCAAGTGCTCGACATTCCATGGGTGCTGCTCGTATTAATAGTTCTTTATTGGACCTGAAATTCCATTCAGCTGCCACAACATTGAAGATAACCAACCATGATGGTAACAATTTTATGCTTAAGGAAATGGTTGCTAGTTGCGACTGCTTGATTCTATCGTGCTTTCGTTTTCATTTTTATGAAGCCTTTCTGTAACATGTTTCTTGTCAATTTAGATGGAGCCTTTGTTTAATATAAGAACACGCATGTCTCAACAGGTACACAACCATGCTTCATGTTGCGTAAATGGGTATCCTCTGAAGAAGAGAGTACTAACGAGTTAGAAGACGAGAATGTCCAGCCACAAGATAGTAGTAGTGTGAAATCTTCCGGTATGTTTTCCCTCTCCCAATGCATCAAATAATGGTTCTTTTATTTAGTAGCTGTTTGCGTTTCTCATTTTGTTATATGTTTGGTGTACGAACTGCTGAGGTGATCATGGCTAAGAATTTCTCAGGACTTGCAGATAATGCTGACGTAAGTATTCTAAAAACGTTAAACATCCTCTCATTAACATATATTAAGCATTACAAGTAGAATTGAATTTGATCTATAATGTTGTTGCTATCGTGAAATATGGTGAATAAAATTTAGCAATTTCATAGCAACAGTTCCTGAACTGTCAATTGAGCTACTGTACAAATCTTGTTAGTGTTTTTTATAGAATCAAAAGGAGCGATCCAAGTCCCTATCAGTTTTTGGAGTTTTAATTTCGCCAAAGCTTCGAGCCTCTCAGCTGTCATTTGAGAAAGGTGAATAACAGGACTAAAGATCTTAATTCCCCTCACTATTTTTGCAAATGTGATTTTAGTCATCTGTCTATGTGTTATACTTGTCATCCAAGAGATATCACATTCTGTCAATTGAATTTCTTTGCAGCACTAGAGACACTCGTAGAAATAGCTAATATGCAATCATCATTGTTATATTCTTTTCACCAACTTCAGAAGGTGGAAGATGCCAAAGAATGAAAAGTACCATACCAGCTCCTTGTGGTACGTTTATATAACCTTATTGCTCTCTGTTTCTCTTTTACTCCTTCTGGTATTGGGGATTTTTTTTTTCTTTTCAATTGCATATCAAGACTATAGTGTTTTATTTGTACGGACAAGTCAGATATTATTTTAGTAATACAAATCACGAACAAAGATGAAAACAAATTTGTGGGATATATTTGGTAAAATTACACTTTAGTTCCTCCCCAAGGCTTGTGATAATTTCAAAATTAATGTTTTCTATTAGAACCGGATGTGCCAGTTATATAACACCGGGTTGTTTTATTTGAAATGTGAATGTTCTGACAGGTCTATACCAAAATTGTAAACATCTTAAGTTTCAAAACTCTATGGGGGTGTTAGCCTTATCTAAGAATTTTCTTTCCCCACTTTGTGATTACTTACTTTCTTACACAGGCTACTGCTGAAATGCATCGCATTTGGAAATATTATTTCAGTATTGGGAATCCAGCATTCGCTGGTTTGATGTTCAATTTATTGATGTATCAGAAGACAGTGAACACTTCCTTCATTGTGCTGCATATATTCTAACATTGGTTAATGGTTGGTTACACATACTAAGAGGGAAGGGAACCTGGTGTACAAACAGTTTAGGTTGAATGATTAATTTACTAATGGAAAATATTATCATTTTATAGAAACCCTATGGAGTGCTTATGAGTTTATCTGTATAATTTGTTTTTCGGGGGACATAATAATCAATCGAAAACTATTTTAAATGATTTTATAGACAGTTTATGTAAAATGCAACAACTTTATCACATATAACTATTAACTATCCATGATTGAATGTTGGTGCATGTAATACCTTTGTCATGCTTCAAAATATAAATTAACACATTTTTGCTAGTGATCGGGGAATTAAAACGATTTGCAACAGTGAGAAAATAAAATATTTACAATTTGATGATGCTAGTTCATGCTTTAATTATTAAGGAGCATTGCTGTAACTCTTCTTTTGTTAAGCAAAATTTCACAAATTTTCTTATTGAAAGGATGTAATTGAATAATACAAGATTAAACACAGTTGAAAAATAGATTATTCCATCTAATATAAAAGATTTGTATATGGTTATTCAATTATATACTCTATATAAGTCTGTTTTGTATTATAAAGTGTATTTTTTGAATTGATGAATATTGTTTGATTTGTTTTAATGTTATCAATCTTTACTATGAAATTTTTGGCTTATCAACATAGTTAATTAAAATTTAACATGCATACAATTTTGTCAACCCACGTCTAACAACAAAACTAACCTTTGTAGCTTTAAAAATTACCTAAATTACCAAAATTAAGAAAGTCGAAGAGCAATCAAATCAAGTTGTAGATAAGATAAATGTGATGCCTTAATTTTTTATTATGCATTAATTAGTATATAAGTTTAAATAATTTTTGTAATACAGAATATATTATAAGATATTATTTTATCTTTATGGGTTTTTTTACAATGATCTACTCATCATCTACAAATTTTAAATGTTCATTAAGAAGGCGAATTAAACAACCTAATTCATGAACTACGTTTATATGTTGCCTCTCTTTGTTAAGAATATTTTCCATTAGAATAATTGACAAGTGTCTCACAATGTTTGAAAAATTGAATCGAATCTTTTTAAAAGACTTATGATGAAATGAAAACAGGAAATAAAAAACTAAACACAAGATAGAGTTTAATAAATTTTTTTGTTAAATTTGTCGAAATTTTCTCAAATGATAGTTTTATTTGACAAACAATTTTTAATTTGTCTTCGAAAGTTTAGTTTGAAAATTTATCCTTTTTAGTGCTTTACAATAATACACACTTGCACTTAAAAAAGATAAAGAAAAAAAGTTCACACTAATTTTTATATTGGTTTGCCAGATAATCGTTAACTCATTGTCAAGTGTACCAAATCTTTCAAGTAATATAAAGGTTTAAGTGTTTACTTTGTCCCCATGTTAAGAGGTGAATTTCTGTTTAATATCCGGTTTTAAAAATATAAACATTGACAGTAACGACGTTAATTTCGTCTGGAACACTTTTTTCCTCTCTCTCCTCTGCTTTTCTTATAACATCCAGTTTTTTCTCTCTTCTCTCTCTTTTGTCATCATATGATAATTATGATTGCTTTGCATGATTGAATGATTTTGTGCGATAAATGAGAGGTCAAGACCGGGCGAGCAGAAGCTCCATTAATGAGTGCAAATGACATGGCAAACGCAGGAGTTGTTTCACCTTCAGCCTTTGGACCAGGGTGTTGTTGGGCTTGTTTTGTCTCACTGTGATCACCATTGGAACCTGTACCACTTATTGAGGTAGGTTTCATCAAAGCAAAGTTCGGCGTCTGCATAAGCAATGCAAAATTTGGCCCATATATGTTCATGGTAGCACGAGCAAGACGACTGTCAGCAGTGGATGACTCTCTTCACCACCCATCTCATACTCAATTTGGCGAGCTGGAAGAGAATTGTGATGATTCGGCCTCTGCTGAGGTTGTTGTTGCAACTGTAGCGGCTGTGATGGCGGGTTTTTGGAGACAGGATTAAATGTAAAGTTGGTTGGGGTGCTTGTATTAAATGTAAAGTTACACAAAAAGCAGAATTCTTGTGCCACCAAGGCAATTGATTTGCTTTTCTAATTTATGTGACCATTGCAATCTGACAACACAGCTCACTTGTCTGTGATGTTTCTCAAGTGCGCCAAAGATTATCTTCCTCACTAAATTTTAAAATTAAACAATGATACACAGATAATTCTCAACATTAAATTTTTGTTTAGCAGAGATTGAAGAAATATGAAAGTGTTTGGTTTTGAGAGAAATAAGGTGAAATAAAAAAGTGAAATTGGAAGAAGTTATATTGTAATTTTATGTGGATCCTGCACTGATTTTAAAAATTCAATCTTCAATTATCATGAGATAAATTAGTGAAATTGGTATACTTTTTCTTTCACTCATTTTCTTCAACAAATCATGGTGTCAACCAAGTCTAACAGTTTTATCTAAATATGCATAAGGCAATTGCTTCTTGCACCCTAATAAAATTCTCCAGCACCCTATCATTCACAATAAATAATTCAGGATTTTTTTTTTCGGAGCCTCTTTTATTACGGAAAATATTTTAATTGAAGAGTATCCAAAAAGGGTTATTTTCAAGGTTTGAGGAATGCTTTTAAATATAGAAATAATAGTGTTATTTTATGAAGTTATCCAAAAAGTTATTGAAATAAATTAGAAAATAGTTTATTAATAACTTATACTCTCTTTTTTATCTTAAGTATAAACTAACTAGTGCTAATTAAAAATATTGTTTAAAATCATTTAGTTATATTACTTTTATTCATAAAATGATTTTTAACATAAAAATAAATAAAATTTATTTTGATGTCATTCATTGTCTTAATATCAAGAATAGAAAAATCATTAAAAATAGAATTTTAATTGAAGAGTATATTGAGAAGAATGGAATCAATTAAAAAAATTATATTTCAGACTAAAATACATGTATTTGTTTACTTATATTCAAGATGTATTTGTTTACTTATATTCAAGAGTAGGAAAAGTGAATTATCTCCAAATATGTTCTTTAAAATCTTTTTTATACAAATACGTATATCACGATAAATTATAACTATGTGCTTTTAAAATAGGGATGAACACAATTTAATTATACCATGTTATTTACACCCATTAATGGAGCTTCTGCTCCCCTGGTCTTGACTCTCATTTTATCGCACAAAATCATTCAATCATGCAAAGTAATCATAATTATTATATGATGGCAGAAGAGAGAGGGGAGAGAGAAGAGATAGAAGAGAGAGAAGAGAGAAAAAGCTGGGTGGTTACTGGAAAAGTAGAGGAGATAGGGTACAAAGTGCTTCATGTCAGACGAAGTTAACGCCGTTGCTGTCAATTTAACGGAGATGACTTCATTCATACAATTTTAACAACTTTAGGACTCAATGTCTACATTTTTAAAACTGGGTACTAAACAAAAATTCATCTCTTAACATGGGGATGAAGTAAGCATTTAAGCCTAATATAAAATTGTAAGACCAAGTACCGTTTCCCAAAAGATTCGTGTAATATTAGTTAATTGCATTGTTAACAACTAATATAGACTCAAGATCATCCATAATAATTGAAAAACAAGTGCAAAGAAGATTAAAATTTTAACTATACAAGTTTGGACTTTGGTGTTTGAAAACACTTAAGAATGGAATAGACTAGAAATGATATGAAATGACATTGTTAAGGTTAGGTTTTACCAATTTACTCTTGTGCATACACAATTTCATCTCTGTTCCATCAAAATACTAAAGTCAATCCATAAAATTACTCTAGCCCTAATCCCTTAGATGAAAGAGCCTAGCTTTTACCTATTAACTATCAATCCCTTGATTAATTAACATGCAAACCGCATTAAGAACTAGGATCTAAGACAACATGTGAATCCTCTTTCATCCCTAGAATCAATGAACCACAAGGACTATTGTTTCAGTTCTGATTTCTCATCGGAGGTGTACGTCCCCATAACCCATAAAATCCCAAAATCAGTCATGAACGTCCCCATTACATGCAAACTTTAAATTGGAAACAATACTACTAAGAAATGATTGAAGACATTAATTATATATATATATATATATATATAAATATATCTATATATATAATATATATATATATTCAATCATTCAACATTACATACAAGATTTAAAGGCTAACTAACCCCAACAAGATGGGCTTTGACTCTCCATTTCCATGGAGAGCCTCCAAGCTTACAACAATGGAAGATGGAAGAAGAAGGAGACCCAAGGAGGGAGAAGGAGATGTTCCCACATGCTCCACGCAGCCTCCAAGAGCTCCAAACAGTGAAGTCGCGCCTCTAAACCACTAAAGACCCAAACCCCTTCGCGTTTTATGTTTAAATAGACTCAAATTGACACATCAGCGAAGGTCGCGCTCAGCGCCCCTGGAAGGGCCTCCGGGCACGAGATTTCCGAAGCAAATGGGGCTTAGCGCCCCTGGAGGGGCGCCCAGGGAGAATTTGACATCAAATGGTGCTCAGCGCCCTCTGCTAAGGGGTGCTCAGCGCGAGCACACCAGAGGTTAACTTCTGGCAGTTTGTGCAGGTGGCGCTCAACCCCCTTAACTAGGGGCCCTCAACCTGATTTTTCTGCACTGCATCTTTTTCTCTTTTTCTGCAAATCTGCTTGCTTCTTGTGGTTGGTTCAGCTATCTACATTGTTGGAGATTCTTCCAAACACATTTTTAGCTACAAAATAAGGGGATTAGTGATGAATTTATATCAATGTAGCCCAAAACACAATTATTCATAAAACTAAGATAAAGAGAGGATTAAGCAAGTTACAAACTATAAAAGAGTTGATTTTGCTACTAAATTGATGCTTAGATAATGGTAAGAATTAGCATTATCAATAATACATACTACTTTTAGAGTTTTTGGTACATATCATTTGGTAGTTAAGGATTCTCTCTGTTACTTTTTATTCTTACATCTAGAGCATGTTCTAATGTTTTAGATGTAGTAAAATGTTTATTGAGTTACCATTGAATATTGTAACTTAATTTGACGATTTCTAGAGTCATGGCAAAAATTCACAAGCCAAGATTGTATTTTCTTCATGTTTTGTTTTTAGCACAAGTAGACCTAACACACATGGCTGACTCAATAGTACCGAAATTCGTCTTTTTTTATAGAAGTTATTTGCACAAAACAATTTTCAATAGTTCTTGAAAGAACAAAGAATTGTATAAACCCTACAATCATAAATAAACAATTATTAAAGTTTGATATGTATTTTGAAATGCTTTAAGCTTGCATTTGTAAACAAAGTATATTAATTATATGTTCAAGCAAAAGTTTATCACATATATATGCAACACTTTGCATCTCCTCCGATAAAGGATAGTACAAATACCGTTTTCATTTGTTCAACCACACAACTTGTGTTTGTTTAATTAGACTAGTTACTTTGTGTCTAACTTCATCTAAAACACAAAATTATATTTTATATTCAGTTATTAGTCACTCAATACGGAAAAAAAAAGTTTATTGAACTTGGAAGTAATAGGTGAAAAATAAAGAATTTTACTCAATTTTAGATGTCCTTTTAGCTTTTTTTTTTTACCTTTGAATGAATTTGGTGTTTATATTGGCTACCTTAATGACTCCCAACCTAACAAGCACATGAAAGAAACCCTATATTTTATCCTATGGAAGTTAGTAGCTCTATAGATCTATCTCATATTTTGATTGAGAACTTAATGACACTCACCATGTCATACTCCAAAACACCATGGAAGCTTATCAATCTTTGTTAGTAATTAAAAATAATAACCTTCACAACATTTTTCATTTTCTTTTGTATTGGATTTGAGTTAATTTAGAAAATGGAAATGAGTGGATTAAGGGAAAAAAGAGAGAAAAATGAGGTTGTTTAGATTAAGAAAAAGATGGTAAAAAATAAAGGAAAATAAGAAAAAAATATGTGAAAGTTTGAAAGTGATCTCATTAGTTTGATAAATTATAAGAAATATTTTAATTGATAAAATCATAACTACAACTTTATCCTTTTGTTTAAAAATTATTTTCAATAAATGTTGCAGTGTACATTATGTTAAAATGAAATATGAATTATTATTTCAAATAAAAAGTCTTACTTGATAAAATTGTAATAAAATAAAATGGAAATTATTATTATTTATTATTGGTTGCTTTAAGAGCTTCCTCTTCTTAAGTGCAAAAATTGCAACATAAAAAGATATCATCACAAGGATTGCACCATCACAAGGACCGCACAGTGCAACACCACCACAGTCACCACTGTACAACACCAAGAGCACAACCACATGAGTTGCACAAATGAAGACATAACCTACAATACAAGTCAAAACAAAAATTAGAAACATGAATTAGTAGAATCAATTCTTGATAACTATGGAGGGAGAATAATAAATTCTTGTAGCCCTTATGCAGATACAAGATATGTACCAAAACAAACACAGATTGATGGAAAACCTGAGGTAATCCAAATCTTTTCATTCATTCCTCACAATTACTACCCACAAACCAATACACCAATCTATGACCATTACTTTTACGTATATCTCTTTCTTTCATCATATGAACCTACTTTGTCTCAAGGTTTGTATTCCAATCATTACTTTATAAATTCTTGCATCTTTTCTACCTCGTCCATTCATCCATTTTCGTTTCCTAAGCTCCAACTACCTTAATTAGTCACAAATCTTTTAGATTAGTTGTATAATCTTATTAGTATTTTCATTTTTATCAATTTTATTGGGAATCCAACCTCTTTGTTTTCATGCAATGATACACTTTATTGAAAATTAATTAATAAATATTATTTGAATTTTGAAAAGTTTAACAAAAAAAAGTTTAAAAGTACTGCTTAAACAATTTTTGATATATTTTTAATCCTTTAATAAATTTTAAAGGATAATAAAATATGATACATTTTATAACTATTTTTAATTGTTAAAATACAATAGTTGATCATAAAATAAAAGTAAATTTTATTATAATTTTGAATGTTAAAAAATATTAAATAATATTGTAATTATAAATATATTTTGTGAAAAACGTTGATATTTTTTTCTAACAAATTTTTAAGCTTTTAAAATATATTTGTTTTTAACTATTTTTCACGTGTATAAATCTAACAATTGTTTTGATTGCCAAAAATTTTACTTATAATAATGGGGTTTTACATGTTAGAATTTGTAATTTTAATCATCTTAAATACGGGTATATTAACAAAATGACTATATTAAAAGATATTGAAAAAAGCTAACACAAAATTTAAATATTTAGTTATCCAAAATCACCTAATTAGATATGACCATTTGTAATATATAAAACTTACAAGATTTATATGAATTTACAATTAAATGTTTGCGAGATTCATATGAAAATTATCCCTTTATAGCTTTTTTAATTTACAAAATTTGTGTGAATGTTCTATGGAAACGTTCAGGTTAATTCAGTACATACCAAAACATGTATAAATGAATTTAAAAAAATTCTCAAATTTATCATATTTAATATTACTTTTTCTAAAATAAAAAAAAAATTCCAAAAAGACAGTGGACCAAACTAGAAAACAAAATCCAGTGCTCCAAAGTCAAATATCGATTAACAATTCAATTTCCCTCTCGCGCTCAAATTTAGAACTCAAATTTGGGAGTAGCTGCCACGCTGGCGATCCGCGACAACCTCCTTCAGCCAATAGAAATCAATGCTCAAGCTCTATATAAACGAAAAACCATTTTCATTCTTCTCACCTTCAAACACACCATCTCTGTCCCTTGCTTAGAGAATTCACAAATTTTTATTTCAATATCAAAATCAACCACGATGAGTTCCACAGAGGTCTCAGCAGCAGCAAAGAAGGGTGGAAGGGGCAAGCCCAAGACCACAAAATCCGTTTCTCGTTCCTCCAAAGCTGGTCTACAATTCCCTGTTGGCCGTGTGGCTCGTTACCTCAAAGCTGGTCGCTATGCACAGCGCGTTGGATCCGGTTCTCCGGTTTACCTCACTGCGGTTCTTGAATACCTTGCTGCTGAGGTGCGTTCAATTATTCGTTTTACAATAGTAAATCCTTTTAAACAAATTTTCGTGGCGCTATTTTTTCATAATTGTTCTTGGTTTAGGTTTTGGAACTTGCGGGAAATGCCGCGAGGGACAACAAGAAGACGAGAATTATTCCGAGGCACATTCAGCTTGCGGTGAGGAACGACGAGGAACTGAGCAAACTCATGGGATCTGTAACCATAGCTAGCGGCGGGGTTCTGCCCAAAATTCATCAGAATTTGCTGCCGAAGAAAGCTGGGAAGGGAAAAGCTGAAATTGGATCTGCTAGTCAGGAGTTTTAGATTTTACGGCTTGATGTCATGTTAGAGTCTTTGATCACTTCAATGTAGTTTTGATATGCTTATATTAGGATTCAGATGGGATGATGTATAGTCCTTCAGCTTGTGAAAAATAATTATTTGTTTTCTCACTATAATTTTTTGGCATGGTTTCTTCTTAATGTTTTTTCCTTTTGCTGAAATTATTTCAATTCAGAATTGAAATTGAATTAAATTAATAGTTTTACCAAATAAAAAATGAATGTGTTGCTTAATACATTTCTGATTAAAATTTTATTAAAATAGACCAGTTAATATTTAAATTTTTGTGCTATTTTTCTTTTAAATAAGAAGTGAAGGGGAGTTTATGTCTGTGTTTATATATTAGGTTTTACAGCACACTGAATATACCAAGTTCTTTAACATTGTCCCTTGCAGCTTATGAAAAAACTGCTTCTCCTTTCCTTTTCTCTGCCTTCAATTCCTAAACTCCAATCATTGTGTCACCTTCAACACTATAATTGGCTCTCCTATTCTTCGCAATCTCCAAAGGAAATCAAATGGAACTCCAAAACCAACGTCATAATCACACACCCAACTCTTGTTGTGATGGAATCATGTTCCTCCATGTATCAACTAAGGCAGATTCAAGCGCGCATGACCCTTACTGGCTTAATCACCCACACCTTCCCCCTTAGCAGGCTCCTAGCTTTCTGCGCCCTCGCCAATGCCGGTGACCTCCGCTACGCCCACCGTCTTTTCTGCCGTATTCTTGAGCCCAACACCTTCATGTGGAACACCATCATCCGAGGCTATAACAAGGCCCGAATTCCCGCCATGGCCTTCTCTTTCTTCCTCGATATGTTTCGACGCGGCGTTCCCTTCGACCCTAGAACCTTCGTCTTCACGCTCAAGGCCTGCGAACACTTTTCCATGGCTCCACAGGGGGAGTCCGTGCACTCCCTTGCTCGGAAAACTGGGTTTGATTCCGAGTTGCTCGTGCGGAATGGGTTGGTTCATTTTTACGCTGTTCGGGGTTGGTTGAACCACGCGCGCGGGGTGTTTGATGAAATGCCTGTTAAGGATGTTGTTACTTGGACCACGATGATTGATGGGTATGCGGCGTGCAACTGTTCTGATGTGGCAATGGAGCTATTTGGTTTGATGTTGGAGGGTGATGTTGAGCCCAATGAGGTGACGTTGATTGCGGTGCTTTCAGCTTGCTCACATAAGGGTGACCTTGGTATGGGGAAAATGATTCATGAAATTTTGGAGAAGAAGAATGTGAGGTGGGGTTTGAGTTTACACAATGCTTTGTTGGATATGTATGTGAAATGTGGATGTTTGGTGGATGCTATGGAGGTTTTCGACAGAATGGAAAGTAGGGATGTTTTCTCTTGGACAAGCATGATCAATGGGTATGCTAAATGTGGTGACTTGGAGTCTGCTAGGAGGTTCTTTGAGCAAACTCCTCAGAAAAACGTGGTATGCTGGAGTGCGATGATTGCAGGATATTCTCAGAATGACAAACCTAAGGATTCATTGAAATTGTTTCATGAAATGCTTGGGGAAGGTTTTGTTCCGGGGGAGCACACCTTAGTGAGTGTGCTCTCTGCTTGTGGCCAACTAAGTTGCTTTAGTTTGGGCCATTGGATACATCGGTATTTTGTTGACCAAATAAGAATACCGGTGAGTGTTACTTTGGAAAATGCAATTATAGATATGTATGCCAAATGTGGAAGCATAGATGCGGCTGCGGAAGTCTTCAGTGCAATGTCGGAGAGAAACTTGGTTTCTTGGAATTCTATCATTGCAGGCTATGCTGCCAATGGTCGAGCAAAACAAGCTATTGAAGTTTTTGATGAGATGAGATGTATGGGCTTTAAACCGGATGATATTACATTTGTGAGTTTGTTGACAGCTTGCAGTCACGGTGGCTTAGTTTCTCAAGGTAAGGAATACTTTGACACCATGGAAAGAAAATATGGGATAAAACCAAAAAAGGAACATTATGCTTGCATGATTGATCTACTAGGTAGAACTGGCTTCCTAGAAGAAGCTTACAAGTTAATAAAAAACATGCCAATGCTGCCTTGTGAGGCTTCTTGGGGTGCCCTTTTAAGTGCTTGTAGAAAGCACCACAATGTTGAGCTAGCCACTTTGTCTGCTTCTAATCTTCTAAGCTCGGATCCAGAAGATAGTGGTGTCTATGTGCTTTTGGCAAATATTTGGGCTAATGAGAGAAAATGGGGTGATGTGAGGAGGGTGCGAAGTTTGATGAGAGACAAAGGTGTGAAGAAGATTCCTGGTCATAGTTTAATAGAGATAGATGGCGAATTCAAAGAGTTTTTGGTTGCAGATGAATCACACCCTCAATCCGAGGAGATCTACAGAGTACTGGATGACATACTTTTGTTATCAAAATTAGAAGATTCGGGCTGTGACTGCGACTTATAATCTTCATTCGGGACAAATATGTCTCTCCATGAAATTCCATTAAAGCCCGAAACTCAACCTTGTCTTTGGAATAAAGTGGACGGTGAATGTGGAGTCTCCTGTTCAGTCCGATAATTGCTTGAACTACAAAGGAATTGTACTTGTATTGCTATCATTGTGGTGGCTATTTACCGCAGATAATGATTTATATATTCCTGTCACAACTCTATGAACCTTCGACATGCTATCAGGCTTAACCTTCTTATGCACGCCTTAAATTTAAGCTACAGCAATGCAGTTCACGAGTTCAGTTCATTAAGGACACTGGGCTTCATTTTGACTCTCAGACTGCTCTTGTCAACTTGTATGCAAATTGTGGTGCTGTGCTATGAAGTTTAGGCTAGGAAATCTATGATCACCTTCCATCCAAAGAATTGGTTGCCTCAACTTGACGCTTTCGGAGTATGCAAAACTTGGAATGGTTAAAGATTGTAGTTTCATATGTGATCCTGTGGTTGAAAATGACTTGTTTTGTTGGAGTATATCTGGTTCCACTGAAAATGACCAGCCATATAGGCTCTTCAGTTTGTTCAATGAAATGCAACGACAGAGAATAGTGTCTGATCAGATCATGATGTTCAGTGCCATTTCTTCTTGTGCTGGTGTTGGTGCACTTGTTCAAGCGAAATGAGTTCATACATAAGTCTATAAATTAGGGTTTGGAAGAGCTCTACGACTGTCAATGTTAAGAACCTCTAAATAATGTTAATACACTGCTGTGGTTTGTCTACAATTAGGTTATATCGATCAAGTGCAGTGTATCTTTTGTCGCCTGGGTTCTCAGACTAGAAGCCATCTTTTTGACAAAGGATTTTTTCCTGATGGTAGGAAGAGTTTACCTGGCTCCTGGCTTCGTGCAAGCTCAATTTGCTTTAGACTATCTTTCACTTAATAGAATTTTCCTTAAGGTTATATTTTGGACTCAAATTGGTCCAATACTATAGAAGTTTTGTCAACTGTTGAGTTCACATAAAGAATAATGATTAAATTAATAACAATTAAGATTTAGTATAGATATTTCTTCTTTTGAACTTCGATGTGTTGGATAAATGGTCATAAACAAAATTTATGACAATGACGTTAAATTATCATAATATAGTAAACAATTTTTTTAATACAATTGTAGTGATAAAATTACACTTATGATAATAATTTAAATAATAAAAATAATTTTATAAAAAATATCAAAGCAGTATTCTATGTGATAAAAGTAAATAATAAATAAAAATATTAAAAAGAGAGAAAATTAATCAAATGTATGTTTTAGAAACAATTTAATACACTATTGAATGAAATTGGACAAAGAAAAACAAATGTATAATCAAGTGTTTGATAAATTGAAAAACATATAGAGATCTACATATTTTTTCAGACATTATACTAGTCGAACTATTTAATTTGACAGAATTCAGCCTTAACCAAAATTTCACCCCGATCAGAATTTGGCTGAGTCAAGACCAATCGAAATTCGGTCGAGTCACGCTCGATTGAAGCCAACCATGTCTGACTGAGTCGAAATCGGTCTTGTCAGCTCTAGTGAAAATTGACCGTGTTGGCCTCGACCAAAATTTGACTAAGTCAATCTCGACTGAAATTGGACCAAGTTGGCCTAAGCCAAAATTCGACTGAGTTAGCCCATAAAGAAATTCTACCAAGTTAAGCCCGACAAAAATTCGATTGAGTAAGTTCCAAGCAAAGGTCGACTTAATCGACCTTGACGAAGGTCGGTCGAGTTGGCTCCAAACGAAGGTTGGTTGAGTCGACTCCGATCGAAGGTTGGTTGAGTCGACTCCGTTCGAAGGTCTGTTATTGAACGTCATTCGAGATTAGAATTTGGTCGAATCGAACCAAACCGAAATTCAGCCGAATCACGCCCTATTGAAGCCAACCTTGTCTGGCTAGATCGAAATTAGTCTTATCAGCTTTGGTGAAAATCGACTGTGTTGGCTTCGAACAAAATTCGATCGAGTCGACCTCGATTGAAACTAGACTGAGTTGGTCTAGACCAAAATTCGACCGAGTCAGCCTATAACGAAATTCTACCAAGTTAGACCTAATAAAAATTCAATCGAGTAAATTCCAAGAAAAAATCGACTGAATCGACTTTAACGAAGGTTGATCAAGTCGACTCCAGGCGAAGATCAGTTGAGTTATAAAAAATCTATTGAATCGACCTCAGTTGAAAATCGACTTAACTAAAGGTCAAGTCTGCTCTTGTCAAAAGTAAAGTTGATATAAAATTCACTATTCCAAAATCTTAAAAATGAAATTATATAATAAAAAATAGTTTTTTTACCTTCAAAATATTTTTTCAACTAATAACCAAATAAAAAAGTATTAAAATACAAGTATTCTAATATTTTGTACTTAAAGCAATAAAAATGTGATGTGATAAAAATAAGACGTATAAAAAAGTTAATTAAAACTTATTTTATATATATATATATATATATATATATATATATATAATGTGATATTTTTTATTTTTGTAATAGAATAAGACATACAAAAAACATAAATTAGAATTCATATAATGTTATGGTTTTTTATTCATGAACATAAGCTAAGAATAATTCAAAAAAATGATATAAAATGGACCCGAATTCTCCCTTCGTCTTACACCATAAAACAAAAATCGATTTTCATTCCAAATTCTGTAGTCAGATAACATATTAAATTTTTTTATATAAAAAAATATACAGCAAACGTTAAAAAAATAGGATATAAATTTGATTTTTGAAAAGGAAAATTTTTTTATGTAAAAATATATGTAGCAAACTTAAAAAAGGTTAGTTCATAAGATATTAATTTGATTTTTGAAAAGGAAAAGTAGCAATTATTTTCTAAAAGTTTTATTGAGTAGTACAATAATTGCATAGTATGATTAGTCGTGTCAAATAAGTTATGTGGGATGTTCTATGTACCAATCCACAATACAGATATTATATTAATATAAAAAAAGAAAACTTTCCATCGTTGTTATGTCTTGGAATGGCTGATATTCAACTTAAGGACAAGAATGAAATTTGAGTTTAGAATTTGTTTTCTATCATTTAATATTCAACCAAAACTTTGCCACCTACCATTCATTCCACTTCAAAGCGTATACAAGTCAACTTTCTTCACTCACTTGCATAAAATTCAAAGCCATGCACTAAATGTCTTTTCAACTACATTTTTCTTTCACTTCAATTTAATAAAACATCTTTCCAAACTTTCTTTAGATATTTTGAAAATTATTACTGTTACTAGAAAAGTAAACATCGATTAAGGCTCCAAAAATATAATGTTTAATATGAGACAAGGCAGTGACTCAATGAATTCATTAACCTTAATAAATACTTTTAAAGAATACTAGCTCTTGAAAACACTTTTAACTTTTTTTAAAAATTAGAATATTATGTTGAATGACAACGTTTAGGAACTAATTCTTCAATAAAATATTTTTAGAAAACATTCCCTGATAATTACGTTTTTATTTTTTTATAACAGTATAAATTTTTTTATCATAAATATAAAATATATTTGATGTGTTAAAAATTATTTATCTATTGTAAATTTTAATTCTAACCGTTTATATATTCAAATTATTTATTTATTACAAATTTGAGTTATGTAAATAGATATTTATCTTTTTCTTACACAAAATAAATTACTAGTTTATAATATAAAAGTATATTATTAGTTGTGTATGTTTTAACTTATCTTTTGAAATATTTTAATTTCTAACTTCTAAACTTTACCGGAATTTAAAATATTCCTACTTATTACAAAATATTAAATACTTGTTTTGTTTTCTGATGACGTCTTGTTTTAACAAGTGTATTGCATATAATAATACTTATTTTATATAATTAGTATTTATATTAAACAAATATTTTTAATGCAAAAATATATTAAAACAAAACGTAATAAATAAACACTTAGACGTTTAAATTGTATTTTAGATTTATGATAAAAGTTTATATTGTGATTAGAAATTACAAATAAATAATCCCTACCAATTTGTTTCCTGGTAATTGTGGTATTAACAATGAATATGATAATGGATATTTACAATACTCATTTTTTAAATTAGACATGAAAATAGAAATATATATATATATATATATATATATATATATATATATATATATATAT